AGAGAGAGAGAGAGAGAGAGAGAGAGAGAGAGAGAGAGAGAGAGAATAGCCCAAAATGGTTTGTGTTAATAAAAGCCCATTGGGCCTAGAGTGTTAATATATCGAAACAACAATACAAAAACAACACAAGGAAGATCTCATAAGCTTTCTTCGTCGTCGTCACTTCCGTCTCTTATGTTCGATGGGAAGACTAAAGGAGTCAAGTCCCGTGATTCTCCTCCTCCTACTCTTTCCTCTTCTTCTTCATTCATCATCTCTCACGAAGGTCAGCTTCTCTACAGTTCATCTAATTTTGCAATTTTTTTATCTGATCTATATAATCAGTGAAATCTTCTCTCTGTAGGTATTGGGAGAATCTGATTCTACCAGGTAAAGATGTTAACTCTTGTCTCTGTATAGACAAAAAAAAAAACATAAACTAAAGATTTGCTTGTAGATTTAACTTTATAGCTCTTTAGCTTCTGTTTTGTATTGATTCTCTTTTGTATTCTAACACTTGTCTCTGTGCGGACAAAGAACAAAACATAAACTGAAGATTTAGTGTTGACTAGTTGTAGTTAGTGCAGATTATTATTATCTTTTGTTGAATGAATTTTAGTGAAGATTATTTCCAGTTTTTATATTTAATTTTATAGCTCTTAAGCTTCTGTTTTTGTATGGATTCTCTCTGGTCGTGGAACTTAGATTCTAACTCTTGTCTCTGTGTGGACAAAGAACAAACCATAAACTGAAGATTTAGTGTTGACTAGTTGTAGATTATTATTATCTTTTTTGAATGAATTTTAGTGTAGATTATTTCCAGTTTTTAGATTTAACTTTATAGCTCTTAAGCTTCTGTTTTTGTATTGATTCTCTCTGGTCGTGGAACTTAGATTCTAACTCTTGTCTCCGTACAGACAAAGAACAATACATTAACTGGAAGATTTAGTGTTGACTAGTTGTAGTGATAAGTCTTTGTGTAGATTATTTCCAATTTTAGATTTAACTTTATAGCTCTTTAGAGTCTGTTTTGTATTGATTCTCTCTGGTCGTGGAACTTAGATTCTAATTCTTGTCTCTGTACAGAGAAAAAAAAAAACTAAACATTGAAGATTTAGTGTTGATTAGTTGTAGTGATAAGCCTTTGTGTAGATTAAATTTAATTCCAGTTTTAGATTAACATTGTAGCTCTAAGCTTCTATTTGCATTGATGATCTTTGCTGTGGAACTTAGATTCTAACTCTTGTCTCCGTACAGACAAAACAAAAACCAAAACATAAACTGAAGATTTAGTGTTGACTAGTTGTAGTGATAAGCCTTAGTGTAGATTATTTCCAGTTTTTAGATTAACATTATAGCTCTTAAGCTTTTGTTTTTGTATTAATTCTCTCTGGTCGTGGAACTTAGATTCCAACCCTTTGCCTCTGTACAGACAAAATAACAAAACATAAACTGAAGAATTTCTGTTGACTAGTTGTTGTGATAAGCCTTTTGTGTAGATTATTTTCAGTTTAAGATTAACATTATAGCTCTTAATCTTCTGTTTTGTATTGATTATCTTTTATCATGTAACTTAGAGAAGGTAATGCTCCAGAGATACATTGTTCTCGAGAAAGAAGTAGAGCAGCTTGGGAGATTATACAAGATGTAAGTTAAATATTTTTCTGGTTACTAGTTATATGTTCAACATTTCAGACCGTTTATAAAAATTTCGATTTGTTTGTTGCAGTATTTGACGCCGTTTGTGGAATGGGAAAGATACCAGATTCCAAACAAGTGTAGACTCCATCCTGATAACGACCTCTACAGAGATCAAGAACAGCACAAGGTCCACGTGGATATATACGAGTGGAAGTGCGGTTACTGCAGGAAGAGTTTCAATGAAGAGAAGTTTCTTGATCAGCACTTCGACACTAGACATTATAATCTTCTCAATACGGTATTGAGATATACAACAAAGTTTGCTATTACTTTTTGAGATGATGCTAGTAATAAACTTTTTATACTTGATTGTGTTTTTAGAGTGATACAAAGTGTTTAGCGGATCTATGTGGTGCATTGCATTGTGATTATGTGTTGAGTAGTTCCAAGAAGGGTAAGAGCAAGTGTAACCCTGCAGCTGCTGCTAAAAACCGTCATCTCTGTGAGGTTGTTTTCTTTTGTCTTTTCCTCATTGGATGGATCCATGTCTTCTTACTTGGATGCTACTTGTTTATACAGAGTCTTGCGAATACTTGTTTCCCAGTGAGTCAAGGTCCTGCAGCTAGTCGTCTTCATGGTATGACTCCTTACTGAAAAACTTTTACTCGTTAAATTACTACATGTTTCCTAAATTATCCTCTTTGGTTTTTTTCATTTTTCTGTGATTGAAGAACACTTCTTACGGCAATTCTGTGATGCTCATACCTGCACTGGAAAAAGCAAACCTTTTCCTAGAGGAGGCAAGGTTAGTTACCATGTGTCAAGCACATTGAAACCAATAAAAAAAAGAAGACAAAACATCAGTTTTTTTGTTCCTTTTAACATATGAGTCTATGCTTAATATTTGCAGAAGAAATCAGGGGTCTTCTACCTGGCAATATCAATACTAACCTTGATGCTACTCCCACTCTTTTACCTGCTGGTCTTCTTACACCAAAGGTACCTACCATATGATGTTCTCTCTGTCATTGTTTTGTTATTCAGGAGTGTTTGTTAACTTTGTTTTCTTATGCTCTTGACAGAGAAAAGAGAACAGGGACACAAGTGTTACGTCGGATTGTTAAAACTGGAAAGAAAACAAAGCCTTCATAAGCCGTCAAAACGAGAGTGTCACTTTGTGGGGGTTATGAAGCTGAGCTACCAATGGATATCATCAGATCGGTTTACAGAGATATATGTGATACTTATGTAAGCTTTTTAGAGACAGTTGATTCATTTCACAGAAATAGGAATAGTGATTTCTCTATAATCTTCATACATATCAATGATAACATCCAGTTTGGAACACCATCCTTAGGGCATCTCCAACCCAACTCCATTTTTTATTTCAAAATGGAGTAAAAGTGATTATGGAGTAAAAAATGATTCAATCCCACTTCATTTCTTATTCCATAATGAGATTTACAGTAATCTATTTTTTTTTTCACTACTCCATTATGGAGTTACAAATAGAGTGGGGGTTGGAACATTTTTACTCCATAATCACTTTTACTTCATTTTGGAAGAAAAAATGGAATTTTACATTGGAGATGCTCTTAGACGGCAAATTATAGCAAAATGATTTTTTTTTTTTTTTTTAACTGTGCAATTCAAATTTGTGTAAAATAGTTTTAAATTTGCTAAAATTTATTTATTAAAGTTAAATAAATCTTAACTGATGTAAATATGTTAAACTAACTAATAGTATTAGTGCAGATCGATTACTGTATTTTGGTTAGTTTACTTCTTTTTGTATATGTATCTTTTTTATTTCATCAAAATATAATTTTATAATTAAACTATATCTAACGTAATTGTAAAATATACAATAAGACAAATTAGTAAGGTTCTGAAATCATCAACGTTCAAACGACGTCGTTCGCCAGAAACAACGTATTTATAATAATTAGAAACGTTGTCGTTTTCAGCTAAAACTCAATGGCTTCCCTCTCCGAAGTCTTTTCTCGTCTTCTCTCGCCGTCTCTAAAACCTATTTTCACTACACCATCTCACGATGACGTCACCACCACCAACCGCGTGACGTACCCTTCTTTAGCAAACGCGAACCTCCTCTTCTTCAAGTCAAGAAACTACAACGTGGAGGTGGTGCCGAAAGACAACGAGTCAGAGGAGCAGCTGGTTAACGAGTTCAAGAGGTCTGTGTTCAGAGCGGGGGTGTTGCAGGAGACGAGGAGGAGAAGGTTCTTCGAGAGCTCTCAGGAGAAGAGGAAGCGTAAGACCAAAGAAGCTGCCAAGAAGTATCGTAAGAGGAGGCCAAACCCTAAACCTAAACAGTATTCAGCTCAGGAAGGGCCTAAGAAGAGGAGAGAAGTTGAAGAGGAGGAGGATGATAATTGGGAGCTTCCTCCTGAGGAAATTGAGATTCCGTATACCGATCGGTTTTAGAGATTAAACCGGGGTTTGATTCCGGTTTAAATTAAGTGAATAATATTGACTGTTTTGTAGGTTTGTTTTGCACTCTCTAGAGATGTTTTGTAGCTTGACTTGTCTTATGTAATGCTGAACCTGTAAGGATAAAGCCTGCCTTAGGAATATTTAAATCATCAAAGGCTTTTCAGTTATATTAGGATCAAAACTCTTAGCTTTGTTTAGCCCTGTTCTTTTCTAACCGCTGCGTCTAGCGGCGGCGGCAACAAAAAGCACTCCGACGGTGACCAGAATAATCTAACCTAAAGCTAAAGTAAACGCTAATGAATTTTTGAAGACATAAAACTTGAGACGCGGATGCCGCTAGTAATTCCAGCGTCCCTTTTTCTTGTTGTTACTTGACGCTCCGATTAGAAAACAAGTTGCAGGTGCTTCATCGGTGTTGTGTGATGGCGTGATAACATGTTTAATTTTTGGCCGCTGCCGCTGCTTCTTGCGGTTAAGAAACCAACATGGCCTTTGTTGTTTATGTTAAAAAAAAAAGAGGATCAAACTCTTCTTCTTCTGGAAGTATAGTCTCCAAACTATATATATCCTCTTTGATGATTTGTTATTTTGTTCTTCTTCTGAACCAGAGAATGACTATTTTTATATGTACATATATCTATAACTGTGCCAACTTCTATCATCAGGACACATGATCCTGCTCTTGTGCAGTTTCCCCCACTTGTTTTCAGCATCTTATTTTTTTTGCATATGTATGAACTTGAATGTTTGTTTTCTGATGGACTTATGGGGTACATAGTTTAAAGCTATTGGAAGGCTGTTATGAAGACATGTTATACAGTAGTAGACTAGAAATTATAAAATATGGTATGCGGTGGTGGTCTTTCCTCTATGTTTTTATGTTTCTCTGTCTTTGGGATACAACAAAGTCATTTGAATGTTTACTTGAATGCTTGAGACTGATACAAAGTGTTTAACGTATCTTGTGGTACTTGCTTTTGATTTTGAAGTCCTTATAAAAACTAAAACCCCATTCATGAATATCAGCCCATAAAAAATTCTAAACGATTCTTATTTTTTCATAGATTTTAACTAACAAAAAATTAAGAATGACTTTTTAAATAAGAGATATGAAAAAAAATTTAACCAAAAATTTAAAAATATTAATTTGGACGACTTATAAAAATTGTGAAGAATGTTATTTTTAGAAAATCTATGCAAATTAATTTGGACGACTTCGGCTCTTTATTAAGTGAAGTAATGTGATTAAAAAAACTTTATGATTATCAAAAGACACACATATACAACTTTCTTTTTAATTTATAGCATAAACTTGAGATTTGCAATTAAAGCATATAGGTCAAGAGAAATAAGCACAAGATACAGTATTATCTATTATTTGAAACGACTAAAAACATATGTTCAAGGTGAAAATATAAATATAAATAACCAAAGTTCAGCACTATCTACTTTTTGTTAGACGGTGGCCATGTGAATATCCCACGCATGGCCAGTTCTTACAAGCACAAAGCAGCCTTAACGTCAAGCTTCCACGCAAAGCCTCCACCGTCCAACCTCCACACGTCACAAGGCACCGTGACTGAACCCCTCTCACGATCTTGACACGTGTACTGTAATCTAACTCTGCATGTAAACGCCGAGTACGTTAACATGGGCCTCTCCTTCATCACCAACCGTACGATCACGTGAAAATTATCATAACTCATATTAATATCTTCCTTCGCCATCTTCTTATACGCCTCGTTGGTCCACGTGACTCTCCCTACACCGTCAGATATAAACCCTGGACACGTGTCTCTCCCTAGATTCATCTTCTTTTCTTCATCGGTGTTACCTAATCCATAACCATCGTTCCAAGCGTCAGTCACACGTTCAACCGTCACACACGACGATACAACAACCGTTCTTTGTGATATCTCCGCCGTCTTGTACGGTGTTAGCATCTCACCGTTGAAGCTTAGCCATAAAGGACCGTTTTGCTTCTGATTCTTCTCCACTGGAGGAACGTTCAGATCTTGAAAGAGTCGTGTCTCTGGTAATAGAGACAAGGTAACAGCTGTTGTAGTAGTGTTTGGTCTCTTCCTCTTGTTGCACTTACGGGAGTTAACGCCTGAACTCTTCCTCTTTCCTCTCTTGGTGTTACCAGAGACATCGGAGCTGCCACTTGGCCCACTTCCACCACTTGTTGTCGTGGAGCCATATTTTGGAGATACGCCTCCGGCGTCGCTGGATGGTTTAGGAGCAATAGGACGGAACCGAAGCATGATTCGGTCTGCTTTGGAGATACCGTTGTGACCACTGTAACCACCATATCTAGCTATGCAACATCCTCCTCTAACGTCCATCTTTTTCTTTGATAGAAAATGTTGAGAAGTGTTTTAATGGAGCTAAAATGCTGAAGAGATGTGAAGGGTTTTATATAAGAGATTGATAGATGACAAGTGTTTGGTGTGTTTGTCCATAACACGACGCTTGTCACCGTTGCACATGGGTTTTTTAACTTTATTTTTGTATGAATAAATACTGAAATTTGTTAATAAAAAAAAACATATATTGAAATTAATGTTTAATACGCAATATTCATTGGGTATTTCCATTTTATTGTATTATTCACATTACTTTGATCATTAAGAAATTAGAGTCAGATAATTTTCGATGCTTTTTAAATTCTGACACAAGTGATATTTAAAACTAATTGTTTTTCGGAAAAAAATATGAAACCTTATTATTTATAAAATAAGAAATATTTTAATTCTTTTTCTAACAAAGTGTTAAAGCAATGTTGTAATTTTAGTTAAAATAGCTTACTTAGAAGTTTTGATTTAAAATGTTAAACGTTTTCAGTTATATTCAGTAGCATCACAATATAGAACAGTATTGGAATAAATATCTATTGATATGGGATTATATTTAATTTATCAGTTAATATGAGGCTTTTGATCACGATTATCTTGGAGCAATTCCATTGATAATTTTTACCATGGAGTTCTTAAGCTATATATTCGTATATGTATATAAGAATAAATTAAAATAATTAGAAATGAAACCAATAATATTCTCATTTAACATATTATTGGTTAGGTTTCCAAAAAAATGTTAGTATACTTTTAATTAAATAATGATTATTATTATTTATATACACTAATATGTAATTTAAGAATCCTGTGATAAAAAAATATTTTGGAAGTGTTCTTAACACAAAACCGAATATATATATTCTAGTTTTTTTACGATTCAGGCCTATATAAGAGGAAGGGTAATTGAACATAAGATTTGATTTTATATAATTATTTAGTAGTTGATTAGTTAATAATCACTTTGACACGTATGTTTACTACTTTAGCTGTACTTGGACTGGTTTGTTTGGCCTACAAAGCAGATATTTTGTTCATTTATTATTTAATCAAAAAGAGGATGACGTATAATATTTACGTTTTCCATATTAGCGCCAGTTACGGATTCCATTGTAGATTTTTTAAAAATTAGAGTTTAACTTCATATGTGAGCAAGGAATTTTTCGAACTATTGGGTGTTGAATTTTCGAAAGTAGTTATTGAAAAACTCCTTTACGAGGAACATATTCATACGCTCAAAATCATTTGCTATAACCTTTCAGCCTTGATTCATTTTGTTAAAAACGTGTTCTCGGAACCGAGTCAATGCACATAATTAATTAAGTACCGTCTTGGTATCCATAGTTGTTAAGATCATCAAACTGCCGGTACTACATAATCTTGTAACAAAAAGTAATTATCTCAGCCCAAAATATAACATGTTTTTATAAAGTGTTGTTTTATTATTTATGAAACTATCAACCAAGCATATTTCACACAATGTTTTATTTGAAAGAGGGTTAGTTTTTCAAGTGCTTCTTATATCAACGGTTTGTACATTACCGAAAGGAGAAGTATTCGTTACACGAAAGCGAATGTTCAAACATCAGTTTGGATTCTGGTTCTAACTTTTAAATGCCTTATACAAAATTGCAAGTTAAAAACAAGTCATATGAATATAAAACACTAAAAGCACCTTAAACGCATAACCGGTGCTTATTTGTTTTTTTTTTGTGTTTTTCCTTTTATAAAACAAAAAAATTTAAAAACTGATTCAATTGTCGCAAACAATACAAAATTCGACATTTATCTAGGCATTTTTGTAGCCGACGCTTATATTTGGGAGGGGACAACACACTATGTTTTACCAAAATCTCCCATAAGCACATTGGGTTGTTGGTGCTCTAAGAGAAAAAAACAAATAAGCACCGGTTATGCGTTTAATGTGCTTTTAGTGAAACAATTGCCGCAAACAATACAAAATTCCCACACAATTCGACACTTATCTATGCATTTTTGTAGCCAATGCTTACATTTGGGAAGGGCCTACACACTACGTTTTACCAAAATCTCCCATAAGCACATTGGGTTGTTGATGCTCTAAGAGCATTATTATCGCAGAGATGATGGATCCGTTTTTTAATATATATTTTTTTTAAATTTTATCTGATTAAAACAAAATTAAAACAAAAATCAATCGTGGACCGTCATGTGTCGTGGAGTCCGCAAAACAGTGTAAAACGAGACATTATACATCATTTATTCCAGAATAACAAACCACGTTTCTTCTTCTTTTTTGAATCCCATCCCACATTTTCTCTTTAAAACCCCTTTTAAAACCCTTAATAAAGGTGCTCTAAACATTTAGTAAAAAATATATAAACATTAGAATTCAAATCTATCATCTGAATTATGTATTGTCATAACTTTCTAGATTCACTTACATTTTTTTATCCTTGCAATATATACAACCATGTTCCTGTTTTACTTAACTCCGGTTACCGAGACTGGAAAATGAAATAGAATAAGCTAATTACCCAAAACAAAATTCATAGTTCACATGTCTAGTTATTATAAATGAAACAAATTCATGTATTTAGAAGCAAATCACAGTTGTGGTTTCAATCTTTCAATCTTTCAATCAGAAATAAGTGCTAAAATATAAAGGGCAATGTTCGGCATGGTCCAAGAAATGAGGGGTTCATATAGTAGCATTGACCAATTCTGATTTTAATTTAGTGGAATCTTAATTAACTAAAGGTGATGGTGACTCTAGATCTCAAATCTTAATTGAGGGAACAAGATCGATGATCTCATGTCTAAAGACGAATTTGTGCCAAGAGAGTTAGGTCACCTCTTTCAAGGAAAAGAATGGAAAAATTTAAAATTGTTAAAAACAATACTAGTATGTTGTATAAGTTGAGTGTTTTTCCTGACAATTTTTTGTAAGATAAGTGTTTTCTATATATATTTATATATTGGTAATGCTTTTAAACTCCTTACGACTTTCACACGCGTCCTCAGCTAACAAAGGCTAACTTCTGGAACCAATAACTTGTCGCCAAGTAGAAAACAACTGGTTTTGTTATTCTTGACAAAGGTGTTGTAGTATTAAAACACCAAACAACATAACATCTGTCGTGGTCCTATACCCATTCGCGAAAAATATAAACATAAGAGTATTCAAATATACTATAGATCTTATCTTACACTATTAAACGAAAATAAAAAGAAACATAAACAAAAGTAGATTCAGAGGGGAGTTCCAAGGAGCGATGGCATCTAGAAAATATGATGGGTTTGTGTTGCGTTGTACTTTGCATGGCAACACGCAAGGAGACACGTAGAGTCATGTAACTGGCCACGGATTATAGCTAACTAGTATCATTTACATTTGAACATCTTTTTAAAGTAATTAATCTGGCTTAATAATTAGTCTACCCTAAATGGAATCATCAAAATGGAAAGTGGGACGAAACTGATGACTGATGTTGAGACCTGAGAGTTAGGTTTGATTCTTGTAATGAACATTCGATCTCGTCGTAAACAATAATATAAACACAGTCATATAAACTTATTATCCAATTTTTTTAGGAAGTGAAATCATATCCGCAGTCATTTAGAACATGTTTATTGCAAGGTATTTAGGAAGTGAAATCAAAGCTGATTTTAGTTTTTTAGTTAAAATTAAAATACATATTTTTAATTCCGTTAAAAATTTCAATCTTAATAACCTTGCAATAAACATCTCCGTCTCTAGGTATGTACATACAAAGTGCATTTACATAGGATCCAAATTATTTTTACAAATTTCAGTTAGCATTTAAAGCCTGTTTGTAAAGATTTAGAATCTTTTTTTACAAATTATATATTCCTATTAAATTTATACAGGGTCCTATAAAAAATGAAAGAGTCCGGCAATGCTCGTAGCTAGTTGATAAGTGGTCATTAGTAATTTAGAAATACCCGATCCTTTTATTTCTCATATTATTTTGTTTACTGTACCCTAAACGTGAAAAGAGGTGACTGTCTTCTAATAAACTATTGCATGCAGTTCTTGAATTGTATATAGTTATATTTTACTGCGTTCTAGTGGTTCACTTTACAGACATCCCTATAGATAGCAAGTGGAACTATAAAGAATATGCCATACTTTCTGAAAGAAGAAGGCTGCAAACATATAATCTTCTGGGTTGGGTCAGATCGATTGTATATGGCTCAAAGTCATTGATTAATACGTATTAACAGAATCTAATAAGTTTTAAATTAGAAGTATTGATCACATTTCCTCTCACTCTCACTTCAACATATGTACCTAATTACTAGGTAGTAATAGGTGCCATGAAATAATTGAGCAGATTCTTTATGTTCAATTGTATTAAGGTCATCTTTATCCCACAAATCCACTAAAGGGTTTCTTAATATATTTTTTTATCTGTAAAAAAAAAAACTAAAACGAATCAATCGCGAACCACCACGTGTTAGTGGAGTCTGCAAATAGTGCAACAAACCCACCAAAATGGTCTCTTGTTTGGATGCTGCTGAAATCCGTTTTTTAATTTATGTGATCCCCCTTCCCTTCCCTTAAGAGACGCGGTAAAGACCGCGATGTTGATGTTTTAAGGTTGTGACTGAAAAACACATCCAGCGATAATAACCTGAAGTAAAATTATTTTCTGTTGAACTACTCTGATTTTTGGTCAATCAGGTGGAAGTGATTTTCACCCATTAATGCTAGAAAGTGGGAAAGCACACTAATATGTTGCTTTTTATATTAGTGGAAAGAAATGTTTTACTCCCATTCTCACTTTTTTATTTCTTCCATCTTCAACTTTTTTTTTTATCTCTCAACTATATTCTATTATTTACCAATCAAACCCTAAAAAAATTGTTATATAACATTTTCTAGGGATGAACATTCACATATCCGTTCAAATCCAGCTAGTCTATTCGAATTTCAAAATTTTAGAGTTAGAAATTTAAATTTGATTCAAATATTTATCAGTTTTAGTTTAAATTTGATTCAAATCATTGCG